TCAACAGATCTCCCTCCGTCTGCTACCTCCAGCATTTTGGCACCACAAGACACAGTTTTCCCTCTGCTCCCAGCATTCCCAAAGGGACCATTTGCTTTGCCACATCTTGGTCCACTCTTCAACCAACCGGATACCCCTCTCTCTTCCCACTGCACATGCCTACGCCAGTGCGTGAGGCACAACAGATACTCATTCACCTCTTCCCTTCTCACTTTCCAGGGCCCAAACACACACCTTTCAAGTGAAATAGTAGTTTACTATAATTTTTTCAGTTTAGTACACTGTATTCATTATTCATTAATATAGCCTCCTCTATACTGGGAAATCAAATTCAGGTTGGAAGATCACTCTGCTGAACAACCTTATTCATTCTACAAGGCCTGGTCTCAGCTTCTGTTTGCCTGCCATTTTAATTCCCCACAACATTGCCATTCCACTCCCTCTGCCTCCAATACATTCCAATGGCGTTCAACAGCAAGACATCTTTTGATTCATCACTTTACACTGTTCTGGTTTGACATTAACTTCAACAATTCCAAATTGCAACCACTGTTCCCAATTTCATTTGCTGACGGTGGTTGCCATTTATGGTTCCTTTCAGGATCATCTTTTATTCCTTTACATGTCAACTCCTTTAACTTGCACCATAATCTTTTTTGCTATTTAATCCCTGCAGTTGCAGTCTCCATATCTAACAAAAGTTAGATGTGCCACAGAGGTGGCACAGCGAAGGCTCACGAGACTTGTTCTCGAGATGAGTCAGAGTCACAGCTGTCCACTGGATCCATGTTTGAGCTCTGTGGAAATGTCCAGTTAGCTACATTCTGCCCACACTATGCCACTGTCCTACAAACTTATTTTCCTGAAGGATTTGTCACTTTTCCTTTTGTAATCATTCAAGTGCACAACTTCCATTAACCTCCCAGGATGCAAAATCCTGGTCATTATCAACTGAATGCATGAGAAAGTTGTTTCTCACATCATTCCAGCATTTCTTGCCAAAAATCTTAAATTTGTGATCCCTGAGCTTTTGCCTCAATGGGACACAGGTTTACTTTGCCTACTTCATCTAAACATATCAAATTCGTTCAGCTCCGTCAGATCTTCCCATAACTTCCTTTTCTGCAAGGCAACCAACTCCAGCTTCTCCAATCCAACCTAAAAGATCCCATGTCCCCGAACCATTCTGGCAAATCTCCTTGGGACATCTGTATACAGTTGGTTGTAGGACGACATAGCCCTTTGCATTGCATGCTGCTACATAGGGAAGTCACCCGATGCTGTAACTTCACCAGGTTCTCAGCTCGTTTTTAGGTATGCCTGGCCCCCTGCACTCTTCATTGAATCTAGATTGATCCTCTGGCCTGGTGGTAATGGTGGAGTAGGAAATAGACAAGATAAAAGATTAGATTGTGGTCAGATACAATTCTGTTCCTGCAGATGGTCAATAGCACCTCATGGACACCCAATCTTGAGTCACCAAATATGTGTGTGTGTCCTCTAGGACTCAGCTGCTTTCTCATTAGTGGTGCTACTGAACCACTCTTGGCAATAGGCATTGAAGTCCCCATATCCACAGTACATTCTGTGCCTTTGCTACCAATGGTTTACTTGCCCATGTCTGACCTGATGCCTTGAGACTTCATGGATTTTGGAGTCAATGTTGAGGAATCGCAGGGCAACTCTCTCTTGTCTTTATACCACACAGCCACCACATTTGGAGGGTTTATCTTGTCAATGGGACAAGACATACTGACGGATGAAGTTGGTAACGGTTTCTGTAATGTACAACTTGGTGAAAATGATTATCTCAGACTGTTGCCTGATCAGTCTGTGGGCCAGCTCTCTCAATTTTGGCACCAGCCCCACCATGGTGTTATTTTTTAATTGCAAAAATATACTTTAAAAAAAATTAAACTAAGTACGAAAAAAAGTTCTCATTCTGTTCTGTACAATTTTTCCAATGAAGAAGAAAGAAACAAACGGTACACTGGAACTTTACATCTCACAGAGCTACCGTGCAGTTGAAAATAACAAGGATATTTTTAACTCGAGCAGGAAGAAAATATTTACATGTTCAGGCAATGAGAGGTTCTGATAACTGAACAGACTCTCATTGCACTTTGGCAGAAAGACCTCGGGCAGTTGTCTTTCCCCATTGTGCCTTGGAATGTGCCAGTCTGCAACACTCAGTCGAGGTGAACTCTTTACAATGGAATACCAACAAGTTTCGTTCAACGAGATGATGGTCCTCCATGTGCAGTCAATGTTTTTCTTTGAATACGTCCCGAGCAACAGCCCATACAGCACAGAAATGCAGGGTTATGGGGTTGGGTTGGGGGGTGTGTGGTGGTGGTGGTGGTGGGTGCGTAGGTAGTTTGGAGGATTGGTGCGGACTCGATGGGCCAAATGATCTGCTTCCACACTGTAGGGATTCTATGATGTACTCATGGTCAAGTCGCTCACTTAAGATCACACGTGGCAAAAAGCCTCCTCAGAAAGATCCTGCAGGACTTCCACCGACACTTCAAACGGAGCCAGTAAGAGTCAGTACATGTGGGAGGAGACAACACTGAAAGAGAGAGAGAGAGAGAGAGAGAGAGAGAGAGAGAGAGAGAGAGAGAGAGAGAGAGAGATAGAGAGAGATAGAGAGAGAGATAGAGAAGTTAAGCTACATTAGAAGGCTGATGGCCATGGCTGTGGTACACCAATTGCTCATGGTTAGTAAGAAGGCAGCCTAGTTGCAAAGTGGACATTGGTATGCTGCACATGCAAAAACGAGTCGTGACATTTTCAAAAGTTAATCTGAGAGAACTGTCCATGTCATATCGTCAGCAATGAATCATGTCAGGATATGCCTACAGGGACTGCATTACGCTGCTTTTATTGGAACTACATATTTACCAGCCAGGGGAAGACAGAAGCAATCAGAAACTTAAGAGGTCAGAGTAGGAATAGATCATATGGCCTCTTGGGGCTTTTCCATCCTTCAATATGTCTATGGTTGATCTTCTGTCTTAACACTGCTTTCCCTCCTGCTCCCTATATCCCTTAGATTTTTGATCTTGCAAAAAATCATCTGTCCTAGCTATGGAAAACTATACAATGGTAAAGTATCTACAACCATCTAGGGGACAGAATTCCGAAAATTTGCAATCTTTCAAGTGAAGGAATTCCTTCTCATCTTAGTCCCAAATAATCAAGTCCTTAACCTGAGGCTGTGCCCAATGCTCTGGACTCATCAGCCAAGGGAAACAACCTTTCAGTGCCAATTCTGTCATGCTTTTTCAGATTTACATATGTTTTGATGAAATCATCTCTAATTCTTTTACATTCCAGACAGTAGACACACAGCTTAGTCACCTTCTCTGGACAGGATACCCATTCCATCCAGAATTGAACCGAATTAGCTTTATTGTCACAAGTACTCATATGAGTACAGTGAAAAGTTTACAAGCTGCCACTTACAATGCCAACTTAGATACAAGGTAGCTAGGTATAGATCTTCAGTACATGTTCTTAGGGAAAAACAAAAAGAAATAAATAAAAAGTTCAGAACAACAGTCCTTCTAACCCAGTCCATGAACTGGTCAGATCCAGTGAATAGTTACTGAGCTGAATGGAGCTAGGCAACTGGTTTAACACACTGTGCTACAGACCAAAAAAGCTGCAGATGCTGGAATCCAAGGTAGACAAACAGGAGGCTGGAAGAACACAGCAAGCCAGGCAGCAACCGGAGGAAAGGAGTAATCAACGTTTCGGTATTACCTTTCTTCAGGGCTGGATGTGGGGGAAGGGGGTGCTGAAGATAAAGAGGTGGCGGGGGGGAAGCTGTGGAGGCAGACACTGGAGGTAGGTACGACCTGGTTGGTCGATGGGAGGGATTGGACACTGGAGGTAGGTACGACCTGGTTGGTCGATGGGAGGGATTGGACACTGGTGGTAGGTACGACCTGGTTAGTCGATGGGAGGGATATCACCACTTTTCCACCTCCACCGCCCGCCCTTCCTCCCCAATTTATCTGCAACTGTTTCTAACCCCACATCTAGTCTTGAAGAAGGGTAATACCTAAAACGTTGACTGCTTCTTTTCTTCAGATGCTGCCTGGCCTGCTGTGTTCTTCCAGCCTCCAATGTGTCTAACGCACTGTGATGACTGAAATAGGTTGCTGAATTCAATAATGCACAGAAGCTGCGATAATGCAAATGGTATATTTTACTGCATCTGAACACCCACAAAAAAAATTGTCGGGTTAATGCTATCTAATCTAATACAAAGTGCAGCAAGCAAGCCAAATGCATTTGCACCGTTTCTCTAGGTTAAATGGGGAAGAGAGTGAGGCTTTCCCTGACAAGAAATAATCTCACTCATATAAAAGCCCCTACACTGCTCAATCCTATAGCTATGGTTAGGATGTGTAATGAATAAGAGTTGGACTGTGTTGGGATGGCAGGTTAAATATTGCAGGTTACAACCTTTCATACCAGACTTCTTTCTGGATCTCATTCTGTACTATCTGGAAAGTTTCTAAAACAACCGGGATGGAGTCACATCAGACCGTCCTCATGCAACTCACCCTCTTTACTCACACAGAGACATTAGAAAATATCTGGATGCAAGTATTACAACAGTTCTCCCAGTAAATCAGAATGAAAAGGCCATGGACAATTTCAACAGATGTTTACAGACCATAACCTAACCTGACTGTGCTGAGTTTCCTGATATTGGTTGAAGTAACAGCTGGAAATACACCTATTTGAGATATCCCTGAGTGGAGATTCGAAGACTTACATGAACTACACTGCATTTCATTCTCTGCAGTGACACATGCTGGCAAAGACACTATCAGGCCCAATAGGGACACCACCTGCTGTCCAATGGTTGGGGTAGCCAGACACAAACACTTGGACAAATTACAGTCCAGCAATTGAAGCACCTAGACGGTACCTCAACAAGCCCCTAGTAAGGGCTCAGGAAGCGAAGAGAAAAACAAAGTTACCTGATTTTTGACAAGGGTGAAGCCGGGACCACATCGGATGAACAATGCTCATCTTTCAAAGGAGTAGGTGCAGCAAGCATGCCTGTGCTCTCTGATAATTGAGGGTCATCCTGATGCAGCTCTTCTGCACTATAGTCCATGTCCTGGCACTCCTTAACATCCTCTCCTGTAAATAAGATTTACAAATTAACCTTAGTTGAATGCGAATGAGCCAGTGCTTAACAATTACTTAGCTTGCTATGCACCTCATCCCATCAGAGACTGGAGTAGGCTATCGGTCCTATTTAATATGATTGTTATGGACCAGACCAAACCCCCTCAAAACATATTAAGAAGATAGTCTAGACCATAACTTTTTCTCATTTTAAAGATAAGTGTAAGGTGTTGGAATAAAGAATTCCAGGTGGAATTCAACTAGTCAGATTACCAGATTTGAAGCAAAATACACTTTATCCGTACACGAGAGTTAAAATACAACAAAGGAAAGAACAAAGAAAAGAACTGGCTTAGCTATAACACTACTGAAATACTTAACAAAACAACAGATACAGTACTATTACTAATTACATGTTCTAATATAGTAACATCCCATAAACACACCCTTGGCAAAAGGCAAATTCAGTAAAACAGATCGTCTCACATGTAATTCGGCGGTCCAGTAGGAAAAACCTCAAGAGAAAACTCAGAGAGCGGATAGCAGGGAGAGATGGACGGCGGCTTGCAAACCCTGCAGAGACCCCAGCAACTGCGACTGAAAAACTAAAAATTATGGTTCTGTGGGAGTTTGCCTGACGCATGCAACCTGCTTCTATTGTTCCAACTTTAAAAAAAAAAAATCCCAAGGCCTCACAAACCATTTACTCTACTGGATCTATGTAGACTGCTCGGTACCTCTGCCTTAAAACCTCTCTTTGAAAAAGAACCAGAACAAAATACACCTTAAAACCCCTCTCCAAGAAAAAACCAGGACAAAATACACCTCTTAAACCCATAGCATCATCACACCATGCAGCTACACATATCAGTTTCACACTACAAAGCCAGGAAAGACATTTCTGCTTCTGATGACTGAGCCTCAATTTTCTGGGGCTGAGCCACTGGCTACGCTGACACCACCCTCCGCTTAAAAGGTATCTCTGTCACCAAGAGGGCACAGGTGCCGACAGAACACTTTTTGCTTGGATGGGTGCAGCTGCCACAATACTCAAGAAACGCATCACTCTTCAGGACAAGGTCAGAAATCACATGACACCAGGTTATAAGTCCAACAGGTTTATTTGAAAACACAAGCTTTCAGAGCATTCACGTGACAAAGGGGCTACACTCCAAAAGCTTGTGCTTTTAAATAAAACTGTTGGACTATAACCAGGTGTTGTGCGATTTCTGACCTTGTCCATCCCAGTCCAACACCGGCACCGCCACATCTTATTCAGAACAAAAAAAGCACTTGGAAACGTTTGTGGGAATTCAGATCTATCTCTGTGACACTTTATTGAAAATATGACACCACTCTGATTCCCCTTTACAACCAATCAATTTGTTACATCTCCAGGCAGCCCTCAAAAGAAATGTCAAACATGATTTTTCCTTTCACAAAACCATGTTGACTCTGCCCAATTTTACTACAAGTTTCTAAATGTCTTGCTTACTACCTCCTTAATGATATTTTCTAGCATTTTTCTAATAACAGATCAGACTAACTGGCCTATTGTTTCCTTTCTCCCTCCTCATTTGAATACTGCTGATACATTTATCACTTTTCAATCTGCTAGGATTTCTTCAGAGTCTAGGGAACTTTGAAAATTACATCCAATGCATCTACAATCTCTACAAACATCTACCTTAATGCAGCATGCAGGCTGTTAAGTCCTGCCATCCTCAAGAAGTTTTTAACATGAACTCAACCTTTTTATGGGATATTTTGTAGGATAAATTCACCACATTACTTTCATTATGCTTTCCTATTCATCAAAAAAAAAAATCCATCTGATTGGTCAAGTACAATCTTAGTATTTATTACTGTGCTGGCTCGCCTTAAGCAATTCAAACCTCTCTTACGCATCGCTGGTATAAAAATGACCAGCATGTAGTTCCTAGGAACGCCCTTTTATGTTTTCTTGTATAAAGGTGTTAACATTTGCCACTCTCCAATTAGTGGCTAAGGAAGGTTGGAAGATTATGGCAAGCCCTTCTATTGCCTCCAATCCCACTTCATATAGGAGCCAGGGATATAAGCTGGCATCCTGCCAGCACGGTGGCTGTGGTTAGCACTGCTGCCTCACAGTGTCCTGGGTTTTGATTCCACCCTTGGGCGGCTGTCTGTGTGGGTTTGCACAATCTCCTCCATGTCCATGGGGGTTTCCTCCGGTTTCCTCCCACAGTCCAAAGATGTGCAGGTTAGGTGGATTGGCCATGCTATATTGTCTGTCGTGTCCAAGGACATGCAGGCTAGGTGGGTTAGCCATGGGAAATGCTGGGTTACAGGGATAGGGTAGACAGGTGGGTCTGAGTTGATGTTTTTGAACAGTCCGTGTGGACTCGATGAACACCTTACACTTGCTTTGAAATAAAATAAATAAAAAGTTAAGGTCTGGGCTATCTCCTTGATATATTTTGGAGGGTGTTTGGTCTGGTCCATAATACTTAACAGCTTTTTTTTCTTTAGTAAATACCAAAGTACTAATTTAGTATTCCATGTTCTGCACCCCTATACACCTACTTTTACTGCTCACTATTTATATGCCCAGTCTTGTTTCCTTCTTCATTTCCCCTTTCAACTTATTGTTCAAGAACTTGACAGGCATTGTTTACCCTGTTTTTGTCTCTTGGCAGCTGTAAAGGAATCTGTACCTTTGATGAAGAAGGTCATTCACAGTAAAGGACTGACCACAACTTGAAATTGCAAGTTCATCAGCGACAGTAGGGTCAATTAAAATAATGCAGGAAAATGATGTAGGAACAAAAGCTACACATCTTCAAAAGTTGAAAAGGATTTTCAAACGTTTTGAAAAAAATTAATCAGCAGCATTATAATCATTTGCTCCTTCGAATCTGACAAAAAAAATGCATTCACTCCTCCATTTAGATGTATTAAAGGATTTTTGAAACACTGGACCAAGTAGACAGTCAGAATGCTGCAAAAGCTTAATTATCTGTCTAAAAACAGTATTCCGTTGACAGTCAATCGGTCCCTTTGACACTGGTACAATTTCCTATTATTTGGATTGCTGGTGACCTTTCCAACTGTTGACAATGCACAGAATAGAGTGACAGGACTGACAATCATGTACATGTAACCGACAAGTAATGGACTGAGTTTTTAAAATGGGACCAAATCAGCAGGGGCCACCGTTATACAAGTGACACTTTTCCATCCTGCTATATATTTTGAATAAACACCATTAATCACTCTCCAGAAGCTGAACAGTTCACATGGGTGTCAGTACTGAGCTCAAAGTTTAGTGCTAGCCATCACACTACTACAGGATCAATGTTGGCATCTTGCATATCCTCCTGCTGAGACAATTAAAGGGGAGGAATAGATCACAGGAGCCCCAGTGGCTGTTATATTTGTGAAGATGTACATGTTGTTAAATCTGGTCGTATACTAACTTTCTCAATTCACCTCAATCAACTGGTTGAAAGACTGGTGTATCCACTCAACAGACTGTCTGAACTAAAATCACGCACGATCTAGATCCTCAAAAGGAGTAAAATCCAGCGCACTGAATGGGACAAGGGAGAGGATCGGAATGGTATTCTATCTTATCCCCTTCTACATGGGAGAAATTACTGCAATTAGGTTATGAATATTTAGAGAGACCACAATATATTAATTCAATAGTTTTACAAGACTAGAGATTGTAGAAATGGATTTATCAAACTGCCACACCAATACAGTCTGAATGTATGACAGTCATTGCGATACACTGTTTGTGTATGCTCAAGCTGTAAATAAATTCCTTGGGTGTTGTGGGTTCTGTCTTGAGTGAAGTCTAATGTGGACTTGGCATGGAACATCCAGTTCATTATGTCATTCTCCAAGAAGCCTGATTTCTTTAATTATGATCACCTCCAACTCAGAAGGGGAGAGCTGTGCTCTAAAGAGTAAATCTTGCCTGTCTGCTCTGAAGTTGTATCTGCCACTGAATTGTTCCAAGCAGACACTTATTTTCTTTAACAGCTGCTCTTCATTGGATAACAAGGCTGAATCCTACTTGTCCTTTGACCACCTCTCACTGTAATGTCCTGTCATACATACAGCTTTACACATGAAATAAGATCAACATTATTCTGTTAGTAACAAGCCAGTTTGAGCTTGATTTAACAGTGACTGTGACAAAAGATTGCAGCTTCAATAACTGCATCTGGTGAGAGCTAAAAATTTAAAAGAACATCCAAGGTCAATAAAACTAATTCTATTATATTGTTGTTCTACTGGGAAGCAAAACATATTCATTTCTAGTGTTGTGTTCTTTAGGCTTGATTTGTGAAATGTCACCTGACATTAGACTTCAGTTTCAACCCTTGATTAAACTTTGTGAAGCAGGATTGAAAATCAACCGTCCTGTTCCTTTTACCTGAGATGGTTGGACACTGCTCTTCAACATCCTTGTCTTTCTTCATTTTTGTCCCCTTTGTCTTCCACTTGTTCCTCACCTCGGCCACCAGTTGTTGAAACTCCTTGCAATGTTTTATACCTGCAATGTAACACAACAGAAGATTTGTAATTGCACTGTAACAATGAAAACGGTCCTGACATTCCACTTTGGGAATACTGCAATGAGTCTTTGAATGGTGGGACTTTTCCACACAGTTAACTCCAGAGAACAGTGATCCCACTGATCATCCTCTATTCTTCTCATATTTTCAAATGGTTCCAAAAATTGAAAGGGTCCTGTCAGTTCCAGTGAGGGTGATGTCTAAATCCATTTATATCTCATGGGACAGATATCTACATGAGTGCCAGTTGACTCAATCACTGTAGACCTGCAATCAACCTTCTTAAGGATAAGTATCACCATTTCAACTCCAGCTACAAATGAGGGGACAGGAACTCAAATATGAAGGCATTAGGGGGAATTCTACCCTGCCTATTGCTAGAGAAAATGGGAGGCAGAGTCGCTGGGAGGACTGCATTTTAAATGCATTAGATATGCTCTGCCAACAATCCTTTTACCTAAAAATGCTTAATTATCCTTATTCTTTCACAGATGTAAGCATCACCAGCAAGGCCAGTGCGTGTGGCACATCTGCAGTTCGCCTCGAACTCAGAGGCAAGTGAAGTGTCAATCACATTGTTGTGGGTGTGGAGTCACATGTCGGTCAGACAGGTGAGAATGGCACATTTCCTTTCCTAAAGGGCCATGAACAGCCACACAGATTTTTACAACAATCAACAATACAGGCTGACTACTGCCTGGCCATCCTACAGCTTTGATCCTCTCCGTGTGTAGCACCTCCCTGGCACAGTCACTGATGGACAACTCCTTTACAGCTTCTCTCTTGCACACACAGAGAGCTGACTAGGAGGGATATTGAAAGAGGAGGGCCTAAGGTGTCACCAAGACTCACCAGATTGTTTAATCTCACTCTCTTTGCCTGTGGTTGCCCCCGAGATCTGAGATACTGGTGAGACCACACTTGGAGTATTGTGTACAGTTTGGTCTCCTAATCGGAGGAAGGATTTTCTGGCTATGGAGAAAGTGCAATAAATATTTACCAAAGTGATTTCTGGGATGGTAGGACTGATGTATGAAGGGAGTTTGGATCAGTTAGGACTACATTCACTGGAGTTTTGAAGGATAAAGGGGTATCTTAGGTAAACCTGCAGAATTCTAACAGGACTGGACAAGTTAAATGCAACTAGGACTTTTCCATTTCTCAATCAATGATAGTTGTCATGGCTGCCATCACTGAGACCAGCTTTCAATTTGAAGTCCAACAGGTGCTGAAGTGGGAACTGAACTCGTGTCTCAGAGAATTTGGGTTTCTGGATTGTAATACTGGTGCACTAGGCTCGCAGTCTGTTCCATCCAGCCATTTTCTGCATCCTCTCAATCTCTGATTCCTCATCTCCATTGCATATGTTCAGATGAGGCCAACTTTGACAAGGGAGCCTCCAAAACGTCCACCTTCTTCCTCAACCGAGCATTCCCCAACACTGTTGTTGACAGAGCACTCAACACTGTCTTCCCTCCTGCAACAGCGATAGGGTTTCCCTTGTTCTTACCTACCATCCCACCAGCATCCACATCCAGAAGATCATCAGACACCATTTCTGCCACCTCCAGTAGTTTGCCACCACCAGGTACATATTCTCCTCCCTTCCCTTGTCTGCCTTCCGCAGGGACCGTTCCTTCCAGGACACCCTGGTCTACTCTTCCTTCACCCCCAAAAGCATCCCACAGCACCTTCCCTGCAACCGGCTCTTTGGAGGGTCAGTGTGGACTTGATGGGCTGAATGGCCTACTTCCACACAGTAGGGATTCTATGATTCTAAGGCATTTCATCACCAGCTTAAATGCAGTTAGGGATGAGGACTAAGTGACAGTGAGGTCCACATTCAATGAATCAATTAAATAAATTCTGATCTGGAACAACTGCCTGAATGGGAGATGGACGGAGATGCATCAGCAACCTTCAAAAGGGGTATAATATATACATGAAGAGGAGGCATTTGTAAGGTTTAGCGAAGAAAAGCTGAAGAGTCACACAAATTGAACAGTCTTTTGATGGATGGTTTCACAGATACGGTGGGCTGAATGGTCTACGTTTGTGCTGTTTGATTCTACGATTCTATTCGGGTCTCAACAGTGCACAATAAATTACCGTATGGTATTTACAACACTAGCAACTAATTTCAAGCCAAGTCAGGAGAGATGGGATCAATCTTCCTTGACTGTAAAGGCCTTACATCAATGGGTTAATCTGTCTTAATCCAGTTATTTCAAGAATAGGTCCTGCACAAAACTGTCCCTGAATTAATTTTTTACGCAACAGAAACCAAATCTACGCCTATTGTGAAAAATAACAATAATGCAGAGTAGCACACCTTCGAGACAAAACACTTTGTTGAGGTTGAGTCAAAGGAAATTCATTATGATTCTAATACATCAGACAAAAATTATCCATTTTTATCCAGCTTTTGAGATAGCCATCAATTTCAAATATACAGAATAATGTAGAGAGTCAGTAATGGGGACAAGAAATTGGATTGATAAAATTTCTGGCATAAGTAAGGTTCAAGGATCAGTGCTCATGGTAGAAGCTATGATTGTTCACTATTTATTACAAATTGTTTGGCTTTATACTATTAACAGTAACTGTTGTGAAATTTTGCCTGCTTTCAAAGACTGAAGAAATACGTTAAGATAGTGCAGTTGTTAACATTATCAAATATCTCCTGAGCATGTGGCCAGAATCTCTCTCAAATTAAAAAAAGGTCAGATTCCTTCACCGCTTTGGGCTGTCTTAGGACCCGCATGTCAGAATGATTTGAAATAGGGGTGCCAAAATAATACAGATTAAGATTTTTAACAAAACTCAAAGCGTAACACCAGCTCACTACTCTGAAACTAATATTTAAAGTGGTTTGAAGTAGCACAAAGGTAAACATCATATTGCAATGTTTCAAAGTTATGTGCTTCCTTTTAAGTAACAAGACATATTCACAATAAGAGGTTTGATGGTACTGTCTTAATCAAAAATTACTCTACATTTTGCAAGGAGAGTTTGTCATTGCGCGAGTGCCTTGAAGTAATGTTATTTGACGTGAGTGTGTGGGTAATGGAACCTGACATTTCAAGACAGACACCAGGATACAGGAGTTATAGGTGCATAGCTTTTGCACTGATGATCACTTAACACAACTGCCATGCATTAAAACAGCAGAGGCACAGCAAGACAGCATTGTCAGATTGCAGCTCCTAATCACTCATTGAGATTAGTCAAACTTACTCTCCACTCCTTTCATTGGTGAAGTTCTAAATTGAGGAATTATTCTTCCTCTGCTGGCAATGGGAAAATCATCCATCATTCCCACAAGCCTATGTGTAAGCAAGGAAAGTTTAACCAACTGAAAAATGATCGTAAATTGTACAAAATTACATTATTATTTCTTGAAACTGGACAAACACCAGGTAGAAAATGAGATTCAAGTATCGATGGTTCGCTTTGAAAATATCTATCATTTTCCACAAGAGTCACCTGCTTTAAAATTAAATCACACCTCCAGGAATCTTTTATTCAGATCTTCATATTTCAGATGTCTCTTTCTGCACTTCCAAAGAAAACCACTCAAGTCACTGCTGATATAGCGCTGTAATTTGCCCAGTCAATTTTCAACTTGGCAATCAATAGGCTGTTCCACTTACTTTTTAGATCAAATGAATGAAAACAGGCTCAAAAGTTTGATTTAATCTTTCACATTTTTAAGATAGAAATGCCCTTTTGTTCAATGTACAACAGAAACACACACTAGCCAGATTTTGCAGGAATAAGGCATCTACTGACTTATCTTCCTCATCGGACATTTTTCTCCAGCTTTCACTAAACAAGTTTCCTTTCCCCTGTACATTGCAGGAAATACAAGGTTAATAGAATACCTAGAGCCCTGGTGAAGCAATAACATTGCATAATTGAGAAAGATGCAGATGAATGACAGCAAGTGTAAAATAGGGAGTCCAAGCAAGTATAGAAATAGTGATTTGATCAAGACAGAGAAAAAAAGAGAGGGCAAGTAAAACAAAGTTTAGAAGAGGAAATTTAAAGTCTTAAAAGTTCTGCAACCTGCCTCTTTCTTAACCAGAGTGGTTGCATGGTATACTTACACTGTTAAATACTAGCCCTAACTTTCAGTGGAAGGTTTCATTGGTAACTAGTGCAGCAATTTCTTGAATATCAAAAGATGAATGAAAGCCAATTGCCAGTTTAACAGGGGAGTTCTCATCAACCAAAAACTAGCAATTTGTAATTCACTTTTTTTATCACAAGCTGGTGCACCATTTGCAGATCAATAACAGTGTGCACACTAAAATTGCCATTATTTTGGCTGATCCAACCTGCTTCAACTGGTACATGCTTGTTTAGTCTGGTGGTATTATTGCCGGATTGGTAATCCAGAGACCCAGGTAACACTCCTGGATCCGGAATGAAAGCCCATCACATCAGAGGGTGGAATTTCAATCCAAATTCCTGGAATCACTGACCGCAAAATTATGGCAAAAACCTATCAGGTTTAATAATGTATTTTAGGGAAAGAAATTGCATCGTTACCTGGTCTGGCCTACATGTGACTCCAAACCCATAGACTCTTAAATGCTGTCTGCCATGGACACACAAGTCATTTTTGTATCAAACTACCAAAAAAATCCTCGGAAAACAAAAGAAATAGGATGGATCACCTCACATCAACCTAGGCCCCAGAAATGACAAAAGTCATTGTTGGCTTTGCAATGTCAAATTACTTACATCAGAGTCTAGTGCCAAGATTGTGAGAGCTATTTCACACAGTAGTCAAGCAATAGCTTAACAAAGAAATACTCATGGAATCACACCTTACAGATAACATCCCATCAGAGCAGAGCCATGGAGGTGGCAGGACAATAGCATACAGTCAGGAGGGAGTTGTCCTGGGAGTCCTCAACATGGATTACAGTCCCCATAAAGTTTCACAAACCACCATCCGTCAGCTGATGAA